ACCTCTTTTTGACATAACACACTCGATTCCACTGAACCAATTCTTACTTTAAAAAAAAACCTAGCCTTCAAGAAATTTCATTATTAAAATTGGCAAGTTGTCGCGCATACCACTGTTGTAAAGATCATGCTTTTAAGCTTTTTGAATATAAAAAAATATTGGCACTGAATGGTTTCTTTTGACAAAGGCTTTACAGATTGAGGTTTCCAAAAGGATACTATTATCCATAGTAGTTCGACCTTTACGGAAATCACTCTGATATGATGAGATTACTCTGCATTTTTCTAAATAATGGACTAGGTGGTGATTTACCATTTTTTCAAATAACTTGCAAACGCAACTTGTAAGAGTGATTGGTTGGTAGTTGGAGGGATTTTTCGGGTCTTTCCCTGGTTTAGCTATTGGGATGACAACATCTCTCTGCCATGCACTAGGAAAGAATGTTCCTTCCACACTTGATTGAAAAGGGTGAGAAGGGCAACCAATGACTTATAGGACAGATGCTTCAAAATATCATAACTGATACCATCCGGATGTGTGCTTGATCTGTGTGTCTGCATCAGTTCTGTACTTAGCTCAAACATGGAAAATTTGCTATTATATGACTCACAGATGGGAGAGTTGAATTGAATGAGAGCTTTTTCACAGTGTTGCTTAACAGAAAGAGCTTCGTCAGGTAGTTGCTGCCACTAGAAATGGCAGAAAAATTCTCACCAATTGCATTTGCAATTTCTTCTGTTGTGCTGATCACTCGGCCATCTTTTTCCAGAAAGGAAAGTGAGTGGTCTTTGTACAGTCTATATGATTTTTCCCATACTCATTTACTAGATGCAGAGGTTGTCATTCCAGACAGAGGTCATCCACAAATCCTGCTGGTTTTTACACCTCACTCTTCTTGCATGTGCTCTAGCTTTTTTGAAGGTAATAAGGTTTGACAAAGTGGGGTGTTTATGAAAAACTCACCAAGCCATTCTATATTGTTTCAGTGTATCTTTACATTCATGATTCCACCATGGTTTTGTATACTTTGGAAGCTTTGCTGATGTTTTTGGAACAGAGACTGCAGCTGCTAGAATAATGACATCCGTGACTGTTTTCACAGCTTTGTCGACTGGCACATCTTTTACCATCTCTTCAGTGATCTCTGTGAGAGAAGAGAAGAGTTCCCAGTCTGCCCTAGTAAGTATGAAACGGGAAGATCTTGATATGGGATTTACTCCATCTTGTGCTATAGATACCAAAATGGGAAAATGACCACTATCATAAAGGTCATTTCTGACACTAAACGTACAAAAAGGCAGGAGAAATGGTGAACAGATAGCCAGATCTAAAGTGTGAAATGTTCTGTAGGCTCATAGAAGTAGGTGTTCTGCCTGTTATTGAGGAGACAAAGGCAATGGTCTTCAATCATTTGCTCAATTTGTCTGCCTTGGTTTCTATTCCTACTTCCCCAGAGTGGGCTATGTCCATTTAAGTCCCCTATGATGATAAAGAGTTCAGGCAGCTATTTTATTAGGTCATCTAATTCTAGTTGAGCGATATGATGATTTGGGAACAAATAAATAGAACAGACTGAAAGTAAGTTCCATATAATTACTTGGATGGCAACAGCTTGGAGGCCTGTGCTTAAGGATACTGAACTAGAGGGATAGTCAAGTGAAGTCAGGAGGCCGACACCCCCGCTCACCTGCAAGATTATCTTTCCTCGTGAAACAGTACCTCTGAAGTTTAGTTTGTTGAACAGGTTTTAGTAAAGTCTCTTGAACTGTGCAAATCTATCTAATGTTTAACATTTTCAAGATTTTGGTGGAAATCACGACAGTTCAATGAAATGAGGGTGGCCATTACGCTTGATGTTTGTTCTTTCGGTGCTGGTGTTTTGATTTTCGTGGAAGCAGGTATTTGGGGACATCCAATCCCTCTTCCACACCCATCTCAGAATCTATACTGTCTGAGCTGAGGCTCCCAAAAGAGCTTAACTGAGATTTCTGAGAGGTTTTGAATTTTTCTTTGTTTCTCTATTACTTTCACTTTGGTTTTCCATTGGTTCTTTGTTCTGCTGATTTTTAATTGTCGATGTTACTGAGTTCTGTAATTTGTTCTTTTATATATTCTGTGTTGGCTGTTTATTTGGTAGGCCAGTTGAAGTTTGTGTGCTTACTAATTTAAAGGATTTTAATGTACCGGCATAGGACAAATATTTTCGAGGCTGCATATCTGTTACCAATTTTCTTGCTTCTGCACAAGATATATTTTTAATACTTTTACTGTCTACTCCTTTTCTGATTTCCACTTCGGACACTGTCGTGAGAATGCTGTGTGGTTTCCTTTGCAATTTGCGCATAATGGCTCAGCATTGCAATTTTTGTTGTCAAGGCCTTCCACAGAGCAGTGCGCACATGTGATTTTGCCACGAAAGGACATTTTTGAATGGTCAAAGTGCTGGCACTGGAAGCATCACAAAGGGTTCGGCATGTAAGGCCTTACAGGACAGTACCTGGCCTTAATACTTTTTGGCAGATCGGGTGACTTGAAGGTCAGGATTATATGCTTTGTATCAGTCAGCTGACCTTCTTTGCGCATCATTCCTTTGGCAGCACAGATTTTCCTCTTCTGAAAAGTAGAGGAGCTCGATCTCTGAGATAACAACACGAGACAAATTGAGTGTTTTATATGCTGACACTTTAACATCGATTTGTCCAATTTTATTCAATCCAAGGAGTGTTGAGACTGAGTTGCTGATATAGTTTCAACAGGAAGATCTCCAGAGCGCAACTGTTTGACATTATTCAGTTCTCTAATTGAAGATCGGATGTACTTCTGAATTAAAAATGGTGACAGCTTTTTGAGATTGCTTGTGAAATCATTTACGATAAAAAATTCAGGTGGACTTGCTGGATTTATATCTGGATTTGCATTTATATTTGTTTTCACTCATTTTGATGCATAATTATGTTCATTTGTATTTATTAAGTTGTTTTGAGCCATATTGAAAGAAAAAATTAAGATTCAGACCCAGCAGCTCCACCCACCACGGAGCCCAATAAAAGGACGCAGAAACCTACGCCACAGCTAGCCTGGTCTATACGCAATCCGAGTACAGCTTTCCCGAAAACAGGAACTCCCAAAAGCTTATCCCCAAGCCACTGACCCTAAGGACAAGTGACCAGCCAATTGACACTAGTGGGGACAACTAAGTGCCTCATGTTTCAATCTGAAGCAGAGGCCAAAGCAGTGTGTTGGGGACAGTACCTCGCCCCTCAACTACCAGGACTTTCCTTTCCACAATGCACAGCAAACGCGTAGGCAGTTTTCTCTCTGTGAGAAACTAGAAACAAAGGGATGTATTAGAATCTCACTTTAAGCCCACACCTCCAGAAAGGAAAACCACAAGGGCAGAAAAAAAAGAAATTAGCACAGGTAAGGAGAGATGAAAAAGAAAGGAAGAAAGATCACTAGGGCTCTGGGATCGTGAACCCGGTCTCACCAAAAAGATGATCGCTTGAAAGGCTAGGGTACTTTGGGATTGTCACACCCATACTCACAAAAGTGAGCCCCTGAGGGGTAGGTTTGGGGGCAACTTCCCCTTGAAAATATCTGTCTTCTACCTGCTCAACAATTATTCACTTTATGCAAATTAAAATGTATTAAAAAAAAGTCTTAAGAGTTTTTTAAATAAAAATTTAGGATTGTATTATTTTTATTGTATTTACATGCTTGCACTTTATTTACTTTTGTTTTCTGAATTTAATGATACTCCAAATTAGTTCGCAGCAATAATTAATCAATTTATTTTGTTTGCAACTGAATTTGCATTATTTAAAATTTTAGTTTTCTTTATATGAATGAGATTATAATATTGTATTTATGAAATTCATATCTATCTAATAATAAAAAAAAACTACAGGTCTGCTTGCTCATAACTCATTCTATTAACTTCATGTTTTTTTCTTATCAAGAAACAAATATTTTTTTACTGAAACTGGTTTAGAAAAGTAAACTCTCTTTCTATATATACACATACATACATATAAAGATACATACAGTTTCTATCATTTTTTTTTTTTTTTTTTTTTTTTCAACATCTTTCAAAGTTAAATGGCGAAAGGTATTCATTGTCATGAGGAATGAAACTTAAGAAAGTTTCTTTAGGTTTTCTGCTAACCCTATAACACTTGTATATAAACAAAATTTTGAATTATTAAATCATATAACAGTTTTCCATTAATCGATATTTTAAACATTTTAAGAATTTTGGCTGTAGCTAAAGATCTCTTGTAAGTTAACATCGATTTTAGTGTTGCAAATTATTCCACATGTTTATTCATTTAATGAAATCCTCACTTAGGAATTGTCATTTTGAATGAATTATTTACACCCAGGAAGTATTCTTATCTTGTTCAAATTTTCTCTTTACTGCCTAGGCAACAAAATCATTGATAATCACAGCTAATTACATTTATTTTCCATCGACAGGTTTTTCTATTTATGTTCAGTTGAATTTAACCTACCCACCAATCTTCATATTTATATGTAATTGTGCACTGCTAACACCTGCAAATACTGCTTTTTTTCCCCCCACTATGCTGAACCCTTTTTAATTAGACAAAAATTATGAAACTTTATCAATCCCTTATAACTACTTTTAATTCATTAATTTTATTTAAAAAAAATTTTCAGCTTTAAATATTATAGTAAAATGATACAGTGCATAGCTTATTATGCACAAAAATTAAATCAGATTCCATTATAATCACAGATTAAATCATGTGAAACACTTATATACAGTGCTGCTACAAATGACTAATATTTTATCCATGTAGATGCAAAACATTTAGCTGTTATGTACATACTAATTTAAAAAGGCAATGTATTAAACATTTTATTAATATCTGTTAAATAAAGAATAATTTTTCATTAAAAACAAGTTTAAAGGCTGTTTACATGTTTAGTCAAATTCACCAAAACATAAAAAATAAATGAATAGAAATACAGCTTACAATTTAAACTCTCCCTCAGATAAGACAGTATTTTTGCAGATTTCTGAGATCGATTCTCTTGCTTCTTGGACAAGCTTTACAATAAATTCTTCATCATACGGAACTAAAAGAAAGAACGAAGGAAAATATATGTAATAAATAGAATATATGTAAAATAATTTAGATTTTGCCATTTTTTCCCTACATTTTTATATAATAATATTTGAGAACAAGCATTTAAACTGTCAGAAGTACAGATAATATTTTCCTGCCAAAACACTACAGGCAGTCTATAGTAGTTAGAATCTTTTGAAGTCAGTAGTGATATATGTTTGTACAATACATCTACCATGGGTTCTCAACTAGAGGGGAAGGGGGGCTAGAATGCAGTCAGCCTTTTATTTACTTTTTAAGTATTTAGCTTTAGTTTATGATATAAAAAAACCACTTTTATCCAAGTTTTGGTCCAACAATTTCTATATTTTTCTTTATTTAATTCATAAAACACTTTAAAAGTAATCTAAGTAAATGTATATGTATTTTTTAAGTTTGGGAAAGGGGGAGGGATGATCATTTAGGTGAAAGGAGTGCATGGAGCAAAAAAAGAGTTGAGAAGCACTCATCTATAATTCATTACATTCATATCCTGTCACTACAAGAACCAAATGTTCTTACATTAGGGGGGAAAAAATTGGAATTAGGTGTATGCATAGCATCCTTAAATATTTCTTTATAAGAGGCAGTGCTTAATTTCTTGTAACTGAGTAATTCACAGTTCTTTAGAGCAGTAATAACAAACAAGTCAATTGGAAAGTGATTTTTGGCGTTTCACAGCAAACAAGAGTTTCAAAACACCAACACAACTCAGTCAAACCTAACAGAAATAAATGCAATGATTTCTATAGTTGATGCTGACAAATTGCCTTCCACATCAGCCGTAAAGAGTATGGAAAAACAGTTCCTACATCACCTGTCATCTGCTCACTATCCAACATGGCTATCCACTCATAGTTTAACACAAGTTACCCAGGTCATTTCCTTCTAATCTTCAATGTAACACGTATAAAATGGCATTCCTGTGTTCTTTGTTTAGTGTTTAGTATTCACCAAAGTGGTAACATTGTACTAGCATTTATAGAAAAAATATGTCTTTCTTAACACAATTTCTGTGAAAAAAATCTGAGTACCTTCTTTGTTTGTTTTAAATTAAAACAGTCCATTTGTATACTTCTATTGCAATTTAGTTCTCACTGAAATAAGTAGCATATCAAATAATCTGAACACTTACCATTTACATGTAAAATGGAAACTTGATTACTTTTTTGTTATGATGAATGATAAATGTTGGTGCTTAATATCCACACCCCTCTGTAGCCATTATTAAAATCTGAAGACATTTTTTAACTTTATATTACAAATATTATGCATAGAAGGTCATGTTAAGATTTAAGTAAGTTTCCATTTTTCAATTATTCTCTCAAATACATTTTCAGTTTTTAGCTGTTTAAGGCTCAGATTTGACATTTTTTATTTCTAGAATTCTCTATGTACAGTTTTTTCGTTTTCTTGGTATTAAAAGTTTAGCATAATCGAGGACTTCCTAATTTTTTAGTTTTGTTTAAATGACTATAAGTTTTGCTCATTATACTTTCTTTTGAATTTCAGATTAGCATATACTATTTTAGACCAATTTGTTTTTAATTTCAATATACATAATGCAAAGTTCTATGCTTTTTCAGTTGTCCTTTTGGCACAATGTTATGCTTTATTCTTTTTTCCAAGTATTTCAAAAATGTGTTGGGAAATTTCTGGTACATTTGGAGATTTAAATTTTCAGTTTTATATGAATATTTAAGTCTTTAATAAAAATTTGATGAAATCTTTTTACCTTTTCTGATCTCAAATGTACCAGGAGAACGAAACATATTAATCGACTTTTATGAAGCTTTAATTTATTTTCCCCTGATGAGTTTTGAATTGGAGTTTCAATTAATTTTTATTTGTATTATTTTGTATATTTTCCTTTTCACATTTTTATTTTTCGAGTTTGTCCTACTGAATTCTTTCTAAACCTCTCATACACAGTTGTAATTATATTATAGAGAAACTGCCTTGCTTTTATTTACGTTTACTAATAAATCTAGATGCTTTCATTTTAATCTACTTCAATCCTGCAGCTATAGTGCAGGATGAGTTTAAAAATGTTTAATTCTAATTTTTATCCTTTTTTTATATTTCTTTATATATACAGTAAGACCCCGCTTAACGCTGTTTCATTTAGCGCTGTTCGGTTTAGCGCTCTTTTATTTCAAACCCGGGGATTCCACGAAATCACTCGCAGCATACGGGGATTCCCTGAAATATTATGCAGCGATAGGTTTCAAATACATATCCGAAAGAGTGTACTTGTATTTCTTGTTTGGTGCGGTATTGTACAGACATATTTTGAAGGGGTAAATGTGGAAGATGTCGAAGAAATAATTCAAGAAGCAGCGGCTAGTCTTTCTATTGATGAGCTCAAGGAATTAACTGAACAAGAAGAAAACAAAAATGTTGACAGCAGTGATTCAGAAAAAGAGCAAAAAGAACTTTCGATGGCGTTTGTAAAAAGGAGTTTGTCTACCTGAAATAATGGATCAATTCATTGAAAATGATCCGAATTTTGACAGGAGCTCAAAAGTAAGGCGTGGTGTTAGAGATGTTCTATCCGTTTATGAAGAAATTTTAAGAGAACAATGCAAAAGAAAAAGGCAAACAACATTAGATGCTTTTGTCACAAAAAGGCAGAACACTGAAAACGCGGAAGGCTAACTAAATATGACTGAGAATTTTGTTTTTTTTTAAGAATAATCGTTTTGTTATTTATATTTTGTTTTTATTTTTGCAAGAAATAATAATGTGGTATTAATTTGGGCTTTAAGAAATAAATGTTTGGTTATATTTTTATTAAAAAACATACTTTTTAAATTTAATACCTAACCAATTTCCTAGCCATCTTCCCCTAACCCCAATATTTACATGTAAAGATAGCCTCGTTTAGCGCTGTTTCGCATTACGCTCTACTTTGATGGAACGTATCCCCCCCGTTAAGCGGGGTCTTACTGTATATCAAAGATGACCTCCTGATGGAAAAGTGACTAGCGCATTGTGCAGCTGCACCACAGGTCCGGGGTTCGATTCCCCAGATGGGCAAGGTTGACTCGCTTGGGGACTAAATACCAATTGTCCTGTGACATGCTGACCACTTGTCCAGGGCATATGCTGATGCAGAAGGTCAAGAAAGCAGATTTCGGGCACTGCAGGCCATGGCCCACTAGGGCTGTTGTGCCACGGAGTTTAGTTTAGTGTCTATATCAAAGATTGAATTAAAGTAGAAATATTAATAAATTGTAATAAATTGCCTAATACTTGTAAAAAGCTGCTAAGTAATAAAATAATAATTTATTTACTAATGGGTTAATTGAGTATATTATCTCCTTTGAGAAAGTTATTAGAATTTTAGTTGAATGAAGTAACTTATAAGCATTTAAATATGAATCTTGAAAACAAATTTTTTCTTTTTACACTAATATGAGATCTTCAATAAAATAACTTCCAAAATATGTTCAGTTTTCTATAAAAACATTGAAAACTGCATTGGAAAATAAATCTCAGAAATTAAAAACACGATTGAAGGCTCTGAGGACATATTTCATATTTTGAAAAAAATTGAAATTATTGTGCAGTATCTATCTTTTCCTTTTAAAAAAAAAAAATTAAATGTAAAATATTTTGCAAAAAAAAAAAAAAAAAAAAAAAAAAAAAAAAAAATTCTGACACATTTAATATTGAAACAGATGATGATAATAATAATAATAATAAATGTGCATTAGAAAATAAAATTATTACTCTGGAAACTATCTAACCTCAAAAGCCAGAAAACTTGATGAATTTCTGGAAATATGACAACTAAGAAAAGTATGCCAATATCACTAAATGCAGTGAACATATCTACTCTATTCTGGATCTACATATTTATGTTATTATCTTTGCTTGGATATACACCAAATAATAAGCACTTGATGTAAGACATTTAGATGTAGACTTCCCATTAATAATAAGGTAACACAATTAATAATTTAAAAAAAATCTAATTAATACTATGCCTTTAAAATGTCTGAAAATAATATAACAAGAATTTTTTATAAAAATCACCTTTTTGCCACGGATACCTATAAAAATCATCAGTATTTAGCAGAAGAGAACTTTCCTCATTCAAAAGACTAGAATTCTCAGGTATTAGAACTTCAGAGAGATAGTCCTCAAAAACACTAGAAATCTATGAAAGACAAAGGTAAAGCAACTGCAATCACCTAAGTACACCAATATCCAGGAAATCAAAATAAATGCATTTACAGCAATTCTAAGAATGCAATTTAAAATCATTATGTTACTTTAAAATTAAAAAAAAATCATATTTAACTTGATTGTTGTTTTGATTAATTTATAATTACTTAATACGAATTATGAAATATAATGCACTTTATTGTGCTTTTAGTGAAATAAAAGTAAACATAATTCATGTGAGAGAACATTGGATTGGTACAGGTGAACTTTAAAAGACTTGAAGAAATATAGAGTTAATAATTAAAATATATTTTCAAGAGGAATATGTATTTCACATTAAACTATGAAAAAATAAAAGTTTTCTCATGTGAAGAAGTTTTATTATTTTCACCACATTAAGGAATTCCAAGGAAATTTGTAATAATAACCTCAAAGAAAATGAGTGCAACAGTTTTTTAATATATATTTCATAATGTTAACAATATTGAACTAATAATAAATATCTGTCAAAATGAAAGAGTAATACACTGAATACAGTGTAGACACAGTAGTATACTGAAATATTTCTAAACTAGGGAAAAATTTATTTCTCAAGAAGTATATATAACTTATTTGCTTGTTATACATACCTCTTCATAGTAATTGACTGCAAGAAAACTGCAAGCTTTACTCAAAGGATAAATTGTATTTGGCACATTCATCACATCTAATAAAAAGTATATAGTTTAGTTATTTGCTGTATGAGAAATTTTATGAAAAAAAATTACAACTAAAATGTCCTAAAACTCGCATATATGAGCAAGTGATAATACATAATATTTCAATGAATAATTCTTTACAATTCAGTAGTGAAAAATTTATGAAAATTTAGAATTCTGTATATTGGACACAATCTTGGATTAAAACAATATTAATAAATTTGATTAACACTTTGCTTTATGTAAACAAATATACTTGCAGATAAAGATGCATGAAAATGCCTTAATTTATAAATATTTAAAATATCAAATGGAAAGTTTGTAAAGAAAATGCAACACATTTTATAAGAAAACTTTCTGATTTGAATTTACTATTTTTTCATCTTTGGTACACATACCAAACACACAATAAGAAAAATTCCACATTTTTTTTTTTTTTTTTTTTTTTAATTTAGATTTTTACAAAGCCTTCAGCATTAGACTTTATTTACTTTGTGTTAGGCATTCTGACGAAGAAGAGCAGAATGTTAACATAATTCTTTTTTGCATTCAAATGTAAATATTTATTTTATGAAGCATCATAAGCAAAGGGAAACTTTATCTACTAAAAAGTTTTATCTGATGAAAATAATTAATTTCTTAAAAATTCCAAATATTAAAAAGTGGATAATAAAAAAATGGGCCTTGTGACTGTAAAATTGTGATTTAAAAATAGCATTAAAAAAGTGTGTTACACCAGAATATCTTGAGGCATCTCTCGGCTTCCAAATTGGCTGCAACCGATTTCAACAACTTAATGAATTAATTTTTGTACTTTAAAGTGACGAAAAAATTACATTGCAATAAAGGTGCTTATTTCTAATATTAAATGTGGATGTGATTAATGTATGTCATTTAACTATCACGAAATCTTCCAATAAATTGTACGAAAGAATGACAGTGTCTAATAGCATGCAATCATAGTACCTGCCCACTTTCATATATTTACGCCATAGTACTTTTAACTTTCAGAACTGTGTTAATCTACTTTAGGGAGGAAAATGTTTAAAAAAGCAGCCAGGCCCTAAACTGTTGAATAGTTGTTTTTTCATCTTCTCAAAATACACTTCCCTTCTAAACAACAAGGTCACGTTCTTTACCGCCAAATATTTTGCATTTGTGATGCCACCGCTTAATTAAGGAACTCTCATTAATAAATAGTTAAAAAAGAACCTAATAAATGCATAAATTCTAATTGAAATTTAAAGACGTTTTACCGTACATTTAAAATTTTAACATACAAGCAAGGCTGATCACTCAAACTAAAAATATAATAAAACTTCAACGCAATATTGTAAATGATTAGATGTTTTCTTAAATTTCAACAGATGGCAGCACTAAGAAACTAAGATGCTTCTGAATAACATATGAGAAACTATATCTGCTAGAGACCAGGTTCACAGAACTAGAACAGCATCTATCGAGAGCCAGAAGATCGACGCCATGTGCTTCCTTTGACCTCAAGTGCATCAAGCAAGAGTCGCAGGTAACTCTCTCTTCCTTAACCTCTCTTGCCAAGCGCCTAAACTTGCCTCTATTCAGCATCCCTCCTACAGAGGAGGAATGCATCCAAAAGCTGGTAAATGTCACTAAAACTACTAGTAATAATTCTAAAACTGACGTTAAAGTCAGCGACCAGGACAAAAATGTCGGGAAAAACTCCCCAGTCAAAAGATACCTCCTAAAACCGGCAAAATTACAAGCCGACAAAATCATTGCTAGCAATAGCCAGAAATTAGAAAAATTAACCATCAGTAAACGAGAAATTACTCCTACCTCGCCCAAAAACAAAAAAATCAGGAAAGTGGACAAAGATGGCTTTCAACAGCCACCCCGCCATCTCATCGCACGTAATGCCGATAACAATAGCCTGCCTCCATTTTGGAGCGAAAACTCTGACGATCTCCCCCCCACCCAACCCACAGAGCAAAGCTCGTTGCCTAGGCAACCAGTCATTCAGATCAACGAGGAGAGCGCTGAAACCGGTACTCCCCCCCCCCAAGCAATAGCTCGTCCGAAGGGTCGAAAAAGAGAATTCCCTATTTTTTCGTCGACCCTAAAGACTTTGAATTCCTCACTTCACTTGTGCAGTCGGAAGTTCCAACAGCCATATGCCGCATGAAAGGCAAATATCTCCGAATAGAGATGCAAAACGAGAATGATTACCGCTCGGTCGCCCAAATTTTAAATAACCAGGGGGCCGAGTATAAATCATTCAACCTCAAGCAAGATCGCCCTGTAAAGGCCATGTTAAGGGGACTGCCAAGTAATGCAAAGCCCGAAAAAATCAAAGCCGAACTTCAGCTTCTTGGCTATTCGGTGATAAGTGTCACGCAACTGCGTCGGCATAAATCCCGCTATCCAATGCCCTTGTTCTTAATTCAATTGAACCCCTCGTTGAATGTTTACGACATCTTCGAGGAGACTCTCATGTTCGGAGTCGAAATAAAAGTGGAAAAACACCATGGAAAAAAGGGACCCAGTCAGTGTTGGCGCTGCCAAGGATATTTCCACAGTTCAGCAGTGTGCACGCTCCCCATCAAATGCCTGCGGTGCGCTGGCCCGCATTTTGCGTACCAGTGTACCAAAGACCCTGAGGAACCAAACACATGTGCGAACTGCCTTGGTCAGCATGCGGCCAACTGGTTCCACTGTCCCAGGAATCCCATGAACAAGGGCAAAAACCCCAATATTCGTAAGGATAGCGGGAAATCAAAATTTATACCGGCGCCAGCTAAACCTCTCCTTAGTGGTACAGACCCCTTATTTAGTGAAATCGCTTCCGGACGAAAAAATCCCGGACTTAATATGACTTCGGAGCAGAAGCAAGGTCAGAAGCAAGCCCTCAAGCAAGCCCCGGCACTGCATCCTGCACCACAGCCAGCACCACCGGCCCAGGCTTTAGCCCCAACTCCAGAGGACTACAGCTGCACTGATACCCTCCGTTGTGTATTCCAGATCTCTTCAGAGTTCGGAATTGAACATAAAACACTACTGAAAGCCTTCAAAAATGCCCTGCCTCAGCTACGGACAGTCTCCACCGGACCTGAGAGAGCATTTTTCATTTATGAAGCCTACGTTGGACTCCTCAACTAAAGCATCAAGTTCAACAGCTCCAACAGAGAAGAAAACCTCCTGATCTCGTTCTGGAATGCCAACGGAATAAAAAACAAGATCCACGAAGTCCGGGATTTTATTAATGAGCACCACATGGACCTCTTCCTCGTTCAGGAGACACATCTGGTTGAGGGACTTAGCGCGAACATCGCGAATTATTTCTGCTACCGAAATGATAGAGAGGTATGCATCAGTGACACTGTTCGTGCTAGTGGCGGTACTAGCATCTATGTAAAACGCTCATTGAAGCATTCTAGAATACCCACGCCACCACTGGAGGCCCTAGAAGCGACAATTATCCAAATTCATATTCAAAATTCCCCCCCCCAATAGCAGTAGCGTCCTGCTACATGCCTCCGAGACAGGGACCGGCATTTCTCTCTGATCTCAGAAAATTAAGTGGTGTTGCAAATAACCTGATTATCGCAGGAGATTTAAATGCCCGTCATAAAAGTTGGGATTGTGTCACTGCCAACAATTATGGCGATAAACTCAAAATTTGGGCTCAGGACGCCCGAATCCAAATTATAGCGCCGAACTCACCTACCCATTACCAGTTTCCTGGGGGGTTAGGTGCTCCTTCCATTATTGATTTGGCCTTATTTAAAAATATTCCATTAGATTATTCGATCAAAGTGATTCCGGAATTGTCCTCTGACCATTATCCGGTTCACCTCACCCTTAAAACAACCAAAATCAATCAAAATTGAAAGGCGCAAGTCTCTACCAATTGGGACAACTTTCGGTTTGTTTTGGAAAATGGTATTCTCCATCTCCCTATCAAAATTAAAGATAATCAGGAGGTTGACTTAGCCATTGACAGGCTCAACCAAACCCTGGGAAGTGCGTTCACAGCTGCTTCCAAACCCAAATTCAGACCTAATCACTATAAATTACCTGACTTCATTAAGAATAAAATCAAAATTAAAAACCGTCTTCGCAGAGATTGGCAAAACACCCGTTTAGAATCCATTCGAGTGCAACTGCGAAGAATCCAGAATGAGATCAAGTCTGACATTAAAAAATTTGCAGACGATAAAATACTCAAATTACCTTAAGTCCTTAAAGACTTCTGACAATAGCCTTTGGGTTGCTAGCGCACGGCTTCGCAAACCTAAACATGACATTCCCCCCCTAATGGGCACGGTCAATGACCGGATGGCATTAACAGACACTGAGAAGGCTGAACGCATAGCGGACAGTCTTCAAACACAATTCTCATTAAACACTGGACTCATGTTCGATACCTGTGCAACGCACACGCATGAAGTCCAACACCAAGTTGAAGAATTTCTCTCCTCAGATACACATTCTGAGGAACCCATTACCACAACCATGACTGAGATTTCTGCAATTGTCAAAAATCTCACCCCTGCAAAAGCACCTGGCCTGGATAGGATTTCTAATCGCATGATTAAAAATTTGCCTATTAAATTCATATTTTACCTAGCAGTTTTGATTAACTCAATGCTAAGGTTAAAATATTATCCTACTAGCTGGAAGAATGCTTTAGTCATTCCTATTCTAAAACCTGGCATGGACCCTAAGGTCCCTCAAAATTATAGACCGATCAGCCTCTCTGTCTTCACTTAGTAAAATCTACGAAGCTATTCTGCTTAGATACCTGAATGATTTCTGCCGAAGCCGAAATATCATTATTCCTCAACAATTCGGCTTTCGCGCAAAACACTCAACTCAGACCCAGCTACTGAGGGTAGTAGAAATCATTCACACAGGATCTCGCAGTGGAAAGCCTACAACTATAGTCTATTTAGACGTAGCAAAGGCTTTCGACAGGTGTTGGCATATCGGAATTTTATTCAAGCTCATGCGACTTGAAATTTCGGCTAATTTTGTGCACATAATGCACTCTTACCTCAATAATCGTACCTTTTCTGTAAAAGTCAAATATTCTGTCTCTTCTCCTCGCCCTATCCTGGCGGGGGTGCCTCAGGGAGGAATTCTTAGCGCTACGCTCTTCAACTTGTATGTAAATGACATACCACAATCACCAAGTGTCGATCTAGCCCTTTATGCAGACGACACAGCCATCATTTCTCAGCACCCAACACTTAACGCCACTCTAAATCACCTACAACTTTATTTAACAGACTTGGAGTCCTGGCTCATTACCTGGAAAATCAAAATTAACGTCGCAAAAAGTGCCGCCACCGTTTTCTTTTCCAGAAAGAGGAATGTCCATAGTCAACTCCAACCACTCAGGTTATTTGATGAGGAGATACCCTGGGTGGAATCCTATAAATATCTAGGAGTTTATCTAGATGCGAAGCTACTCTGGAGTACTCATATCAACTATACAATAGCCAAAGCCAGAACTGTCAGAACTCAACTAATGTCACTTATCAACCGTACCAGCAACCTCTCCCTCAGCAACAAGATCCTACTTTATCGCAGCACCATCTTCCCCATCCTCACCTATGCAGCTATCATCTGGTCAACCGCAGCCAACAGTCACCTAAAGAAACTCCAAGTATTCCAGAGTGTTACGCTTCGCATACTCACCAATGCTCATTATTTCGTCCGGAATGAAGTGCTACATAATGATCTCAAAATTTTACCCCTGGATGCCTTTTTTCGGCAAAATTCGGCAAAGTTTTTCAATAGACTATCTCAGATTGAAAACCCAGTCTTGCACTCACTTCCTGCTTATAATCCAGCAGAGCCTAGCTCTGCTAAGCGACCTAGGAGCGTTCTTGATAGAACATTTAACATCTTTCCTAGGAAGCCAAAGCGGAGGTGCTTGCTTGACTAGGAATTCTTTCTAATTTTTAAAGCTAAACTCTAACCAGCACTTCACGGGCCTAACCCGGCGACCCTTAATTAACTCTCTTTTTTACATCACTGCCCGCTAGACCTAATCTGGCCTCGTTTATCGCGACCCACATCTGTACCACTAAACATGACCTCCCCCCATTTATCAGGACCTCACCTTTTCATATATCACGGACCAGACT